TCCTCCTCCTCCTCCTCCTCCTCCTCCTCCTCCTCCTCCCCTCCCCCCTTATGGAGTAGATCTTTGCTGTTTTTTTGCACCTCTTTCGGGCAGGTGGAGCAGGCGGAGTCTCCCCCATAGGACGCACGATTGCAAGCAGTCGCACTGAACAGAAAACGTTCACTTACAAGGGGCAACGGTAGGAGGGGACAGACAGGCTAAGGGGGGGATGAGCATCGTCCCCCGGTCGCCCACATGGATCGCCGATAGGGGCCCGACAGCCCACGCCCTGGGGCACGCGGATTCGCTATCGGGGGCTTCTTTGCCGATCTATCGGCGAGGTATCGCCGATTTCAGGTCGGTACTTGCCCCCATGGGCCATTCCACTCCTAAAGTTTCCCCTCGAGTTAAAGCAGTGCGTGGCGGCGTGGTCGTGCGCTCACGGGATCAGGTCGGTTGCGTGCGGCTCATGTGTGCGTGGTCGTGGGAGCTCCCGCATATCGTCTCAGACAGAGCCTGACGTCTTTCGGTCTTTTTGGCCTCTCGGAGGCACGTCGGGGATTCTTGGGGTCCCCTGGGAACCTTTTGAAGGTCTAATGGGGACCCGTCGGGAGTCTTCGAGCCCTCTTTTGGTCTGGAGCGAGTCTTTGTGTTGTCCTGAGGCCGTCTTGGCTTGCCTTGGAGCCATCTTTGGGCCAGTATTGTAGTGGCCTCCTGCCAGTGCCGCCGATCCGGGGGCGCTCCCGATGCGATCTGGTTGGTGGAAGGGGAGGTGGAGGAGTAGGTGAAGGAGACCTCTTGAAGGCCCCTTGGGCCGTCATGACGCCATCTTGGGCCGTCTTGGGTTCATCTTGGGCCGTCTTCGAAATATCTTGCAGCAATCTTGGGCTCTCTGGCATCCGGGGTGGAACTCTGGCTGTGTTTCCCACGACCCGACAACCCTTCCAGAAAACGCAGCACAGCGCGCCCCCCCCCCACCCCCCTACCCCGGCAGAGCCACCCGGGCACCCACCCCCCAGCGGAGCAGAAGCTCAGGAACTGAAGCTGATTCTACATCTAAGGCTCCTTCAAACTCACACGCCGGATCGGCGGATTTAGTGTTCTTTGGGCCGTCTTCAGGTGGTCTTGAGCCGTCGTGGGACCGTCAAGAGAGGACTTCGGAAGGCTTCTGTATTTGAAAGGCGTGGAGAGCGTTTGAGGCAGGCCCCGGGTTGAACAGCAGAATTTCTCCAACCCTCTTGTGTTGGATTCGCGCTTGGAACAGAGCACTGCTGCTTCTCTCCCGGACCGCTCCCTCCCCTCCTCTCTCCCTCCTCCTCAGTTGCTCGTTCTGCAAAATGAGCACTGCTGCTCCCCTCTTGTCCCTCCTGCCGCTCTCCCCCTCCCCCCTCGCCGCCCCCCTCTTGCCCCCGCCCCTCCTCTGCTGGGTGCTGCTCTTGAGCACTACTTCTTTCAAGGGGGAGAAGCCACCCGGACCCGACAAATGACGTTCACTAAACGGCTTTGGGCATTTACTCAACAGCCCTATCCTGTTCGATTCATTCCTTGGGTGCGTCTACTAGACGGCTTTGCTTGTCGGGGTGGTGGGGGTGGATTTTCTGCCCCCTATCCGTCCTTTCGCGACTCCCCGCTCTCCCTTCCACGCCCTCCCCCCGGGTGCTGCCTGGCGCCTGGCTGTCGCCATTTTCGCAAGCTCCCCCCTCCTCCTCCCCATCCCCCTGCCCTCCCCCTCCCTTCTCCCTCCCCCTGCCCCTGCCCCTCCCCCTCCCCCCTCCCCCCCCTCCCCTGCCCTCCCCTCCCCCTGCCCTTGCCCCTCCTCCCCTTCCCCTGCCCCTCCCCCTTCCCTTCCCCTCCCCCCCCCCTTCCGCCTCCTCCTCTTCCTTCGCCCCCTCCTCCTCCTCCTCCTCCTCCTCCTCCTCCTCCTCCTCCTCCTTCCTGCTCCTGCTCCTCCTCCTCCTCCTCCTCCTCCTCCTCCTCCTCCTCCTGCTCTGGACATTCTGAATCAGGCCTGTCTTGCCGAGCGGGGTGCCGAAGGGGCTCCTCGTATGAACAATCGTCTTGTTTCACCCTTCTCGCGCGCCATCCGGCGTCAGGCTTCTGACCTGACTTTGGGGGTTCCGGCACTGAGCATGCCGAAACGGTTCCAGACGAGGCCTCCCTTCCCTGCGCTGGCCACTGCTCAAGAGTCGCCGCTCGTGAGCTGCTGGGAGGTCCAGCGGAGTGAGGTGCCCAAACGGGTCCCTCCCCGGGGTGCTACCCACAGCTCAACTGTCGCCACTTTCGTGTGCCGCTGGGTTGTCCAGCGGAGTGCGTGTGCAAGCGGATCCAGGCCAGGACCTCCCCTGCCCACCATTCTCTTGTCGCCACTTCCCTGAGCTCCTGGGGGGTCTGGTCGGGCGCGGTGCCAGTCGGATCCAAACTGTACCTCTCCTCCCTGATGTGTTGTCGGCGTCACCCCAACATACTTATACTAGATGTGCGTCGCCCTCCCCTGGGGCGACGCGCGCACCGATCTTATAGT